GTGTGTGTGTGTGTCAGAAATCCAGGGACCGTCTCCAATGCGGGTGTCTACACGGTGTCTAATACGAGAGGAGAGGTAAGTCCATCAGTAGCTTCGAGTCGTCACCAGAATGCCAGGATTAATTCATCTTCCGACCCCTCCGGCAATTATCTACTCGCCAACGAGATGAAACTGATGGTTGAAACGAATCACGTGACGAGCGACTTGTGATAATTGCTCATCGTGTCGCAATAAAGGCCTCTGATCCTACACTCTGGTTAGCGAATCACGGCTTTTTGGTGGTGAAATCTAGCGCGAGTTCAGGATGTCGGATAAATCCTGCTACTTTCCTGGAATTCGAGGGATCTTAGTCACATGACAGTGACTTGTACCGATCTCAGCTGACATGACGCGAGCCTGTTAGTGCAGCGGTGAGAGCAATGCCCCACGATAAACTTACTCGAGTTAAAATCTCGGTTGAACATACGGGAATAAGAACCCCCCAGTACTATAGGTGACCTTCCGCCAAATTCCAGGAAGGCACATATTTCCGTGTCTTAACTCTAACCCTAGTCTTAACCCTCATAACTCCAACCCTAGCACTAACCCCGCCAACTCCTGGAATTCATCGCAAAACCACCCGTGAAACGGGAAGTCCATATTCCCGTGCTGAAGATGACAAATGTCCTAGAAATGGTGGGCCCAGTGTGCCTGTCATCGTCGGAAAAAAGTGTCAGTTGTTGACGTCTTGACGCGCTGTTTGACTGCACCGACAGTCGCGTCATCTTTTAAATGTCCAAGATGTGCATAAGTTGGTGAGCTCGTCGAACCATGTAGGCTAACTGCCGACGTTCTTCACTGTGACGATTTTTGTTTGTAAGTTGAGTGAGGTGTCTCCTGATGGACATTGCGGATCTTCTGTCAAACCGGTCCCTGAAAGTTCTTCACTCTCATTACAGCTGTTTGTTCACGGTCAACCCACATGAGCCTGGTCTGCCACGCATCTCTGTTGCCAAAACAATGCAAATAAACAAGGTAAAAGGCAGTCAGTGCAATTCACGCTGCGGAGTATCAACGATAAGATCTCTGCGCCAAATCGATTAACTTCTCGTTAGGACAATAACTGTTCAAAACGCTAACTTGCTCCATTGACGTGCACCTTCTGGCTCCTAACTTTACGAGATATAGCCCTAAAAATCGAAAACTTAAAAAGTGTTAGATAAAGCACATTTTCTTGGTTTTTATTACCCCGATGCAACTTATAGGTGACGTTGTGCCTCTTGACACAGCGACTGTTGGCTGCACCGGGACACGCTCGTGCAGCATCCTGTTGTCCACAAGTGTCATCACTTCAGAAGTAAACACCATGGCAGTGGCTTGTGTTCGACCAATCGGAAAACCACCTTGTTCGTGTGAGTTGACATCGACTGGTGTCGGTGCATAGTTTCGGTATTTGGCACGTTCTGGCTTCCGCGAGGCCAATCGGTACGGGTGAAGTTGATATTATTAGTCGTAGACGACTATATGGTTGGTTTGGGACGAAGGATCCCCCAAACGTCCTGTTCTTCGTTGTGAAGTTTTAAAACGCGTATGTGTGTGTGATTTATCCGGAGTAGCCACCCCCAAAGTAGGATGAAAGGAAGATAGCCGTCAATGGTTTGTTGTTTATTTTTTCGAGATATTTCCTAGTTTTCCTGCAGACATGAAACCGTAATTCTCGATAAAAATTATGGCTTCTCGAAAAAGGGTCCCGGTATTCTAAATGCGTGTTAGGGAATCTAATTCCAGCGGAACGAATATTAACTAACATTTTTGCTAAACGTACGTCAGGACTCGATGACGCAGAGTGAAAAGTTGCATTCCGCACATCATCATTATTCCGAGATTTAAGGAGGGTGGGTTTCCGAAATGTGCGAGTAATAATCGTGTTTCTACTCCTGTGGAAACAATGAAAAATCTAGGCCTTGAAAAAACCAGTGCTCCTGATTGTCTTAGACTAAAATGATGCCTCCTACTCGGCTTTCCAGAATACCATACAGAGTCATCATCACTATCATCGGAAGGGCGATTCGTCTCCCGGGTATTGACGCATATCCTGTGCCCACTCTGCGATTATTCAACTTCGAAGCAACTATACGACACAACAATTACTTCCGCAATTATGTACAGTCTGGCAACTTTTATTCACACATGTCATTGACAACACTGTTACCATTTTCTTAAGAAAAAGTACCTCCCGACACTTTGCTCATTAACTTAAATTTTGTTGATTACAACCCCTCAAATTCAGTCAATTTCTTTCTCCGCTTGCTACTTAGTTGATGGATTGTGTACCGCGTTCTTATTATTAGAGATTCAATCTCGGTAGCATCCGTTTCGGTGTCTGTATTGTAAGTGGTCCGGCTGTGTTCATGCCTGATCAATCCGACCTCATCGATGTTGCATATAGCGTCTCTACATGAAAAACAGTTTGTTGCAACGAACTTAACGAACAAAACCCATTTTCCCCTTTACCGATGAAGATTTAATATCTGAAGTCAAAGAACGGCCCCACTATCTAGAAGAACTGTGTGATACAAAGTTTTCAGCTGAACGCTTCTTCGCAGCATCCAGTGCGGCGATGGGGTTGCGTTTACAGAAGCAACAAGAAAATTAAAAGGGTGAGCCTAAATCACATTAGCAGTCTTTCTTTGACAGTCTGAGACGTCCTCTCGGTGCCGTCACATCGAGTAGGCTCCTCGATTGCAGACAAAGTTCATGTACTTTGTGACAGTCTGCCTTCGTAATCGCGAGTGCTTCTTCGCATGGACCTGTCAGGTTTGATGGTCTACAGTAACGAAGGGGGCACTGTGGCAGTCCATCCTCGTAGTCGTGTGTGTCTCTTCCTACTTATGTAGCCCCTTAGTTCAGTTCACATATCCTGCCAGTCTAGGGTCTGCCCGCACCCCGACGTGGCGACAAGGTGACGGTACTTTGACATTTCTTGGTTTTGCGATTGGTTGTGCAGTTGTTGCTACTAGCCTCCAAGCTGCCTGTATGCATCCCGCCAGAGGATAGACTATTCTACCAACTGTTGAACCCTTGCGTCTGACTTGGTAAACTTCACTCAGAGAATCGCCCTCTGATAGCTACAGTGGGAACCCCGCGGTTTCTTTTCGAGGTACTGCCTAGAATCTAAAGCCGTCGACAACAGCTGGGCTGACAGAATTTCTGTGCATACAGATTTTTGCGACGATTGTGATGCCGCCAACAGTAAACGGTCGCTTTCGGAGACTGTCGTCGTCAGACTTTTGATTCCATAGTTGGCGAATTTTAGCACCCCATCATTCTGTATGAGGAGTCCCACCGTCCTCGGCTAAGACTTGCTCCCTACCCAATACCTGTCTGCACTCTCAGGCAGAGTCACTGTTGCCGCGGACTTCCGCATCATGACGGAATACCAGACACTCATTTCATGAAGTTACTTAATACTTGTTGACAGAGACGACGGTAGGGGTCGGTTACGCCGTCCCCGTCCCAAATATAAGCAAATTGTGGGCATTGTAAGTAAAGTTAGCAGAAGAAGGAAGCTGAACTCGTTAGTGGGAACGTAGCCAAAGCTAAACTGGGAAAGGGCAGCCTGATGTTTCGGTTCAGAGGTGCGGTTAGTTTTTGGGTTTGGATTAATGTCAGGCTGAGAACTGAGTTTAAAGTTAGGGTTTGTGTTGAGCTTAAGGGTTCCGGTTAGAGCTAGGGCTTGGATTACGGTTTAGATTAGCATTTAGTTTTAAGGTTGGGGTTAGTGTAGAGTCACGGTTAAGATTAGGGCCAGGGTTTGAGTTAGGATTAAGGTTAGAATTTGGGTCAGGGTTAAGGTTAGGCTTAGCGCTAGAGTTTGCGGTGGGTTTAGGGTTAGCGCTAGGTTTGTAATCAGGTTGAGGATTAAGTTTACTTTTGAGGTGACGGTTAGGTTTACCGTTAGGTTTGGGGTATTGCTGTTCCGCGTGTCCTCTAAGTCAGGTCTTTTGAGGAGATTCCAGGCGGATTTGTCCTACATAAGGTTGTCCTTTTCCGTTTTAGCCTCGTTTACTTTCCCCACTAACGATTTCAGCATCCCCCTTCGGATTACTTACCTTCCATTACCCACATTACGCTTACACTTGGGACCAGGACAACGTAATCGAACCTTACAACGGCCCTCGCCTCTCAACAGTCTGGCTTGTCTGTTCGAAGTTGCCTCACAAGCGCTTTGGATCGGCGGACCTTAATAGCAAGACAGACGTGACAAGCGGAGTTTTTGAGCGGCGATCCAGGGTCGTCAGATCACGGTGTTTCGTTGTTCTTTATAGAGCCAGACCTCGACACTCGGCGCCCCAGTGACACTGTAGATGCTGGTCCTCGAGTGCTTTCGAATTACACGTGAAGGCCTTTTTTCATGTCGAGGTTAAGCTTCACTTATGATTCAGCGGGGCTGGTACACTTTACCTCTCGGCCCCCTTTTTCATTATAGATCCAATCCGAAAGAACAACCTATTGCTCACTAACTGAATGGCGCAAAACATCCGACTATTCTACTTTCGATGTTGATTAGCAGCGACGTAATGCATGAAAGTAAGCAAATTTTCACCACCGCTTTCTTTACCTTTGCCGTTGATGGTCTTCAATGCCAACTTACAGGCTTCCAAGGGAAGAATTATCTGCCAATATAATTGGAAGTGGTTGGAAGGCGAGGGTAGGATAAAGACATTACAGGTACTGCCAACAGGTAAATGGAGCGCAATAATATTGGTTGGTCGAGGTAAATATCACGACGGCGTAAAAAGCTTCCTCAGCGACCTCTGCCCTCACAAACCCGCATTCGCACTTCAAGCCCAGCTTTTCGGAGCCTTGAATGCCCATTCTCTGGAGGTAAGAATAAGGGACGGAAAAGAAAACAGGCAAAGAATAGGCCGACTGGCGGCAACGAATCGGATAAGACTATCTGAGTGAATGAAGGGGCCGAATGGGAGTCTGAAGCTTAACCAATCCTGGCAGTATTTCCTTTACACGACAACAGAGACACAGTATGCGGAGAATCTGTAGCTTGATTGGTGAGGGCCGCTGGTGGGGTCCCCGGCATCACCAGGAGCTGACCGACGAAAATCAGAAGTCTGACTGAAGACAAGGCAAACGGTAAACTCATTTTCAGGCTAGTCTTTGGTACAGGCGGGAGGATCTTCCCCGGAAAACTTCTCATGATCACACACGAGCGAGTACAGACTTGAATCGAAAGACGATAATGACTGTAGTCGGGCCAGGTAACCAGATCCTGTTGAGTCGAAGCATAAGGTGGGACCACAGAACACGAGCTAGGCCTTCATAACTCCCGAATCCAGTTCAACGACTGAAAGCACTTGCGTAACTCTGTGCCTGGAGAACATCTGGACACGGCCAACCGGAATGACCATGTAGCTTAGCAAGGGACTGATCTTCACCCGACTTGGAATGTCCTTAGGAGGAAGGGCTGGGGGTGGAGACCAAAGATTGGCCTTTTAATTGCCTTCACAAAAGGTTCGTAAACAGAATTGGCTCTCTCATTACGAATTCTACCATCTCAACTATCATTCAATAAATCATAATTGTCTCCCGTCACTGGCCATAAGCCCACCTTGATGCGAGGAAAACTTACTGATTTTGACTCAACTGGGCTCGCCGCTGATAATGACCAACGGCGACACGCTCAGGAGAAAGTATTTAACCACCAGAAATCAAAATTTCACTAAGTCCCCCAACCCTGCTTGGGTCTACACCAGAGCTAACTCAAGTAAATCAACTCACATTGTGCCAAAACGTTTCAGGCCGACTAGGCGGCTGGTCCAGGTATCCAGACCTACTGTGGGAAAACTAAAAGGAGCATCTTCAACATTTAGACTCATCTTCCTTCTGTTTTTGGGATTATTTTGCTAGCCAATGCAAGACCTTTCCTTGGAACCCCGGTTGTGAAGAAACGAATGGCGCGAATGCACAACCAGACTGTTTGATGTCATTTTGTGCTAGTCAACAAACACCGAGGAATCGATAAGCATCTAAACTGCTACTCTAGTCCTCCTGGTCCCATTAACCTTTGCTTTAACCGCCCTTCGCAGCCAGGACGTAGCTCATTATTAAGGTTTGCATCATCGCCATCATCATCATCATCATCATCATCATCGTCATCGTCAGCAGCAGCAGCAGCAGCAGCAGCAACAACAACAGCAGCAGCAACAACAACGTCCTTCCTAGTGAAGGATCGCGCCATCATCCTCAACACTTCACTGGCCTTCTCAGCTTGCGCGCTCGCATACTGGCTGCAGATTTATGCAGACGAATTGACTGAACTTTCAAGCACCAGGCCATTCCTTGCCTGCCCAAGACGCAGACTATCCTCTCAGCCGCGTAGCTCTGAGTTCTGACTGGAAACAGGCACCGTCCAAGTGAGCGGGGCAGCGGCCCAAATAAGCTGAATAAGCTCACAGTAACCCATACGACGCACTTCTGTTCGCCAAGACTTGACCTAAATAGGTAACGATAGGGTGTGGGACCTCCAAGCAAATGGCAACTCCAAAAATAGACCCTAAAATTCAGTGTGGCTGCCAACGTCGCTTACTATTCACCGTCCCTACTGTTTGGAATTTCCTTTCCTTCCTGACTAAATGTAAACTTACCAGCGGCGCTTTATTTAAAGTCCGTTATTTTTGGCAATTGCTTTTTGTTTATTTTTCGATTGTCGCGCTCACTTTCTTTGCCAAATAACAGCGTACGACAAGACTTTTGGCAGAAATTTATCTGAAAAGGACCCTTTTCTGCTACTGTCTCTGATGATGTATTCAAGTGATAATCCGAAACGTCAGGCGAATGAAGTCCCTGTTCCAGTGATCGCTTCTTCTTCTGATCAGAAATTTATCTGTTTTCTCTGTCTTCTTGCTCTCCGTCTTGTGCGTTTCCCCACCCGTAAAAGCCCCTCTGTCACCATTCAACGTATGACACGGTCCACAGGCTAACTCAAGTTAATTGGGGGTCCTACACCCTATCGTTGCCCCTAAATACGCAGATGACCCGGTGGGCCAGTGTCCAGCATGAACAGAATCCACTGTATAGTGGGGAAGATGCACCTGTTATCACATGATCGGTCCTGCTTGGCTGTGCTATCGTTTATAACTGAGGTTGTCACGACATATGACGCACCAAAGCTAGTAGCTCACAACGATGGAATACCGGATCAATGAATTATTTTTTTCTGCTGGTTTAACGGCAGAGCCATCCGTTTTTATTTTATCGGATCGTCGTCATTTTTAGACACCCTGCACTGTCTGCTTGTCAGTTCCGACTATAGTGACCTTGTCGCCAGTAAAAATTCACCAGTTTGCTTCGAGAATATGCTTTGGTGTTCCTGATTACTGGTTGAATGGCGGGTTAGTAAGGCTCGTGTCCAGCATTTGACTATTGAGACTCAGAAGGCATAAACCTAAAGTAACTGAAGGACGCTTAAGACGCCCAACTGCGTTTCAAAAGTTCAACTTGAGCCGTAACGAGAGGCGGGAGAAACTGGGATATATATATATATTCCTACAATAGACCTTCCCTGATTTGGCCTTTATGGTACTCGAACTTACGGGAGACCCTAGATCCTGCCTTCTGAACGGAGCCTGATACGAGTGTATCACACATAGATGTGATGTTTAGTCATATCCGTCTCTGCGTCTACTTATAAGCCCAGTCCTATCGACTTTGACATGCCAGCTCAGCACGGTATGTGTGAGAAGAGAGAGTGGGGTAGATGTTTTGCAGACATGCTCCGCTAAAAATATATATATTCACACATACGGTGCTGAGCTGGCATGTCAAACTCGACAGGACCGAGCTTATACGTAGGCGCGGAGACGGATATGACTAAACATCTCGCCTATGTGTGATACACACGTATCAGGCTCCGTTTAGAAGGCAGAATCTAGGGTCTACCGTAAGCACGACTACCATAAAGGCCACATCAGGGAAGATCTATTGTAGGTTGACCCTCAGTCCTGGGCAGAACCGAGTTACCCAATCAGCTGTCAACCTTCAAAGGTATGTACGATTGGCCGTGCATTTTGTTGTATATCCTGATCTGGACCAACCTCATTTCATCTTCCATGCACTAATTTTCTGTTCAAGTCTGGCAGCGGACTGGTAACAAAGTTGGGCGCTGTGGTCGGTGTGGCTTCCAGCCTCCGCTTACCGCTTCTCATGAGCGCAAAGTTATACCAGACGCCAGCACACTTCTTCCAATTCATGAAGAACACCAAAGCAAAATGCTGCTTTTCACCGTCCTCGACTTAAAAACTGGGAGACCTGCATCAAGAAAGCGAGGACTCCAGTGTTAACAGTCGTCTTCAATATCTCAAGCCCAAGTCAGGATAGGCTAACGCTTTCAGCATTTGCCATCACTTAGTTGACAGCTATTTGTCCTTCTGGCCCCCTTGACCCATCCTACAGTCCTCAAAAGCAGGTAGTTAGCACCCAGGTCTGTAGCCAGCTTGCGGCCAGCAAACCAGAATTATCGGACACTTGGTGATAATGCACTTTCATGAAGACCTCGAGCGCCCCGTCATTGCAAACGGGTATCGACCCGCCTACACGCGTTCACCGCTTCTCTAAACTCCACCACAAAAGAATTACTTCGTGCGGGGTCGCCAAAGCCGAGCAATAAAATGACCCTCAGGAGCTTATAGCAGGCGCTAGTCACACACACGCCCCTGCCAGCATTCGCTATCAGCCGCTTGTGCGTTCTGGCTCCACAATGGCTGTGGAGTCTACTGTGTCTCCCTGACTCCTGATTTAGCTGCGTACCACCGCAGTGGGGTCGAACAACATTAACACTCATAAACTAAGTGTCATGTTGGCTACTTGGACCAACTCCCCAGTTCCAGTTGTCCCCTAAGAGGAAACTAACGACTGTATTTTCGGCGTTTTATGAGCACTACAATCCCTCTTGCATTGGCTTGGCGTGTGTGGTGTGGGTAAATAGGCAAGGGCACACATACTTCACCTAAGCTAGGGACAGTGATGGCGATGGATAATCCCACATCAGTTTATCACAGTTGAAGTACTCTACTGCGATAGTAACACGCTGTTTGTGCACGTTTTCTACGACCTGACTCGGTGGCGCCGCATATTACAGCAAATGCGGAAGACAACAGTCTGAATATCGTCTTCTAAGTGGCGACATCACTCTTGGTAGGCAGGCTTTTGCAAAAGCAGCTAAAATATGTCCTGGGTTACTGACTATAAGGTGCTTTTTTCCAGGAAAACCGCAGGCGTCAGTCGAATGGCACTGACGAGTCGCCAGGCAGTACTAGAGTCAACAGCAGAATGCTCCTTCTCCCTAAGAAACATTTGTTCCCTAGACTTAATCCGCCCCTCTAGAATTTCTTGTTGTGATAATTCTAAGAGATTACAAAGCAAAGGCGATGACGGTGGACATGAGTTCAGGCGCTTTTTAAAACGGAGGTCGAGTATCGGGATTCGAGAATTTAATGACGCACCTACGTATACGGGCCGAATTAATTCCTGTTGGGACCAATCTTTCCAGCCTTTCGGGCGCACAACCCATCTACCCATGAATTATAATCACATTCAACGGGTTCCGCCGCCGTATGGACCCAACCCGGGGCGGGTTCTCCACCTGAAACTGCATACAGGATGATTGTTACCGCTGACAACGGTGGTTGGCTGAAGCCGAAAAAAACTTCCCTTGTGCCTAATTGGGTCCAGAAGGCATTGTCGTAACTAAGACTTGCCTCACTTTGGTTGACCGTTTGGTTAGCCACAGTCCTTTGCGTACCAATCCACCATGACCATGGAAGAAAGTATGACTTTCGTAAGTACATGTTTTTGACGAGTTGGATTTGTCCTTCCACTACGGTTGGCGTGCAGATTTCGGACAAAGTTGTTTCCCCGGATCTTACAGGCTCTCCAGTTGTGTAGAGGTACCTGCCGACACTTCCGTGGCTCAGTAATCAACTAGGACTTCAACCTCCGAAAGTTGGCCTGTACCGATATTAAGAGTAAATCGTCGCTGGGGTCAGAACCAACCGTCATTGGACTATTTGACGAACAACCGTTGAACGGCCAGCAATCATGTAACAATGACCTCTAGTTACTCCCAGTAGTGTGATCTGACCGCTACATGCTAGTTTAAGATGCGTAATTCCCGGGGTTTGAGAATTATCACCACGGAAAGTAACGTCTAGGATGGTGGGTATACTTTAGCATGCATAATGCAAAGGTCGGTCATGTTAAAAAGTAGGTGCCACGACCGGAGCGCAGTCGTGGCTGACACGGCGCGCGCCAACTTGGCTGATCTGACGGCGAGTGATGAGCTTATGGATGCACGTTACTTTAAGCGGTGGGAACGCTAAAAATAGGCTGGTTAACCTTAATATTTCAGCACTCGCCTGAAACGATTTTGATGCAAACAATGATGTCGCGTGGACGCCAGTTACAGGCAAGCAGAAATAAAATTAAGGCACACAGGCGCGCAACTATAGAATCTGATTAATGCTGTTTGGTGTCCAAACTGCCAGCAAATGTCCCCACTAGTCACATCATTGGTTTGATAGCCTGAAAGGTCCTCAAGTCGTTAAGGTCTTGACTACGTCGATTTTGCAGCATTAAGCTGATAGACAGGCCTCCCTTGTGCTGACGACATTGTTGGTTGAAACTGATGGTGTAAAGGATGTGGTTTTTCGGAAAAAGACGTCACCAAATCTGTCAGAGTAGCAATAAACGCTGAAAACGTGTCTCTGAATTGCATATCCGACTTCAAGAAGGCATCCCTCACAATAAATGGTTGTCAACGTGAGGAAGAGGACCCCCAGCATTTGGCCTTCGTCCCTGAAGAAAGTCGGCCGACCTCACTAGGCCCGCCGCTGTGGATCATCGCTCGTGGAGGAGCCCTATCAGCGGTATCAGCGAGGTCAACTAAACAAAATGTCGCCCAAACTGGAAGAAGCACAGGAATGTATGCCAAATAATGTGCCGACTTCGCAACTACACGCTTTTAAAGAGCAATACATGTCCATATTTAAGATTTCGGGAGTTCCGGCTGGGAGATTCCTAGTCGACGGAAATAACGGCTTCAGTATTAAGCGTTAAGGATTTCCTCGACCGCCGGAGGTCTAGAGGACTGAAGAAGTTCACAAGATGTGGTCACTTATTGATGTAAAACAACAGCGGAAAGTTGAGTTTGCCTGGAGATTGAGCGGCAGGAAGGTCACGCTGAGAATTTGAAACACGCCTGCTCCTGAGCCTTGCTGACTATGCGTTCCAAGAAATGATGAAGTGGTGCGCATACGCCCGTAGCAGGCGACCGTTGGAAAAACGGCATTTCTTGGAAAGTGAGTACCAGAAAACTAAAGCACGAACTTCTTGGATTTAAAAGATCGTAAAAGACACAGGCCAGAAGTTAGATGCTCGACTATATGTGTCCGCTAAACGCCTGGGATAAGTGGCCGGAGTAGGCCGGTTCCTAGCACAAATTACTACATTCCCAGGAGGGATATTAGGGGGAGGAAAGACGAAGACATCCAGCCTTCAATGCTTATGAGGAAACAAGACTACGTGCAATAACGATATGCAAGGAACAAATATCACGTAGAACCCATTGGTATAAGCGTTCAACTAGACTTGACGAGTACGAAATCGAGACCACAGCGTTTCCAACAACATCGGCAACCTTAAATATCAGAAATAAACCGACCTGGACATTGCAAAACTCAATCTACGGACGAAATGACAATGGGCTAACCGAATTTCGGACACTAAAGGCTACTATCCCACAATAACTCTACTAACAAGAAAACTCATATTCAGCACGATACAAACAGTCTCTTACCAAAATTTAATTGAAAATCGAGTAAAGTAAAGCTGACCTCTGTACAGGAATTAGATGGACATAAGGGAAAGTGACAAAATAATGAGTGACAAAGTGCACACGGCAAAGGAAATTCAGTTTTTAGATAACAAGATGAGGCAAAATACCCGTCAAGAAAGCACTGTGTAAAATAGTTCGTTTAGTGATATTTCATGATAATACGCACCAAAAACCGGAAACTAACCAGAGCGCACGTCTACGGACTCAGAGCAGCGAATACGGCCCACATAACATCCGCCGACGACCCCGTGGAGCCAAGTTCATTATAATTTAAGTCCAGTAGGGTGCGCACATGTTTCATTGCAAAATTATACTGATCGTTGGAGAGGGATGTTAGGGCATTTTCAAGGACGTCCGAGCGGTGTGCAACGACAATCAGGGACAATAACCTCTTATCCATTCTTTGTATGTCCTCGGACCAATTTGACAGGATGGAGTCCCTTAGCCGTTGCATAACGTATTGTTTAGTGGGAGTATTTACAAGGGGATGAGTCGTCATATCGAATATGACAAAATTTTGTTTTTCAGTAGAACAAATTCCTTTTTCAACCAGATTTTTTGCAATCCTTTCCCTAACATTTCGCATTTGTAGGGTAATTTTAAATGGGTTCCAGGTTTCGCCTACAACCATTGAGAAAGAAGAAACGGCTTACCACTGAGGTATTCAATCCATGACTTAACATCGGTTGGCTCATTACTATGAATCGTGCGGAGTGCCTCGTCCAGTAGCATATCACCGGTCGGCACGTCCTTTACCACAACGACGTTCCTGTTTAGAATAAAACGCCGCCTTGCTGATGGAGGCTCCAAAGCTATTCTTCCGCGGAATGCTAACTCGATTAAGAAACACCCGCGAAGACCAACGCTGATATTGTCATTCCAGAAAGAGGTATATCCCTCGCGGTCCTTATAACCTAGCAGAAGGATCTCCTCCATAAGAGTCAGCCTGGGAAGTTTGGAGTCATCGGCAGCCTTAGAATCCGAATGTTCATCAACATATTTGTCGGCCTCTGAGGTACACTCGGTCGGGCGACGCCTACAGACCACAGTATCCAAGGTATCCGACATTAGGAAAATTCGTATTGTGCGCGCGACCTCAATGTCGTTGTGGTAGGTTCAGTTCGTCTAGCGTTAGACGATTCAAGGACAAAATGAAGAAAGGGTTTCACTCACTGGTTCACTCCAGCCATTCAAAGAGAAGAAACCGAAGACATTTCCTTAGCTGAATAAAATGTGAACTTCATCCCAAAAACCCACAAAGACTGAAACGCAAAGCACTAACAAAGAGGTCCCTGCACGCAGGTTGTTGGTAGATCATTAAGGTAAATGCACACGTAAGTAATAATTCACTGTCAAACCCGTAAACTACGAATAAGCCCACTCTCTAAAGGGATCTGCGAGGACATAAAAATGTGTAAATCATTTGAGCCAGTTAACAATGACTATCATTGCGAGTATTAGGTTAGAGGAAGCAAGCAGGTCAAAGAAACAATACTTTTGCTGCCGAAAAGCCAGATGAGCGAAACTTTTGGTTGGTCTAGTCCAGTTTTTTGAGATATATTTAAATGCGCACCTTCTGACACTCTTACTTTACCAAATAACCGATGCATATACATAATGGTAGGGGACGCTCACCGATCGTTCTTGCGGAACTCACTCGTTCCCTTGTGCCTTACGGGCTATCTCTCGAGCCCAATCAGCAGCCGCACAGCGGCGCAGGATATAGGCAGAATGGCATTACCGACAAAGACAAGGGAGATTGGAATGGCCATTTCTGGCTTATTAGCCGTCGTCGACCAGTCATACCTATCCCCGAAGTGTGGAACACACGAGGCTCGAACTCACGACCTGTTTGTTAGAAGTCCACGCCTCTAACCACTGGCCCACGAGCCCGTAGTCCTGTCGGTTTCGATCGGGAATATTCAACCTGGCCGAAAATGGATTAGATGCTGTTGTCTTAGGGTTGACGCAATCCGGCGAACCGTGATCGCAAACCTTCGTATTGAGCGTCCAATTCGACGTGGCGGTTGATGCTATTGTTATTAAAGTGTCAAGCTTCTAGAAACTCTAGCGCCTGTTTGGTATGGGCACTAATGATCACTTCAGTCAGCTCCCAGTTGAAGCGATGATCATAATCAAGGGCGTGCGCATCAACCGCCATGACGACTTGGACGCTCACTACGAAGGTTTGAGATCACGTTTCGCCGGCTGGCGCTCACCCGAAGACACCAGCTGCTAATCCATGTTCGGTCATGTAGAATATCAGGCATTTAGCACCGCCCCCACAGAGTTAACCATGTTTGAAACGTTCAGCACTTCCCCTAACGTCCGTCACCTATCCAAACACGTTCTTCACCCCCACACATAGACGTCTGTTTTGTCAATGTAACTTCGATGTCCTCCCAGGTCCTTTGTGCGATTATCTCTGTCACAATTTTCATCTCGTCTGAAGACGGCTTCGTGTAACAGACCTGAAAATTCCCCAATATACCTCGTGTCAAACAAGTGAATCTATGGTTGGTCGAAGTCTGCGCTAATGCGCATTATTGATTTTCGTCATCTGCACGGCATTGGCGGCGCTCGTTTCCATTTGTCCTTGAGAAATTTGTATGTGGCGTCTAAATCGATATGCCGATTGATGCATGCCTCACCTGAATGTATTGCCTCCAGGAAGACGCGGCCTTTCCTTATGGGGCAGGCGCCAACAATGCAAGTCTTCTCCCATGCAAAATTGTGTCCAGTGTGTGCAAAGCCACCTGGGATAGATGATCTCGTCTCCTCACCACTAACTGATGCTCATGTATGCGGGTAGAGGCAGATTTCTCAGTTTGGCCACAGTACACGACATTACAGGAGTGTCCGTGTGCATGTTTGTGTTTTCGGTCTGAGCTGGTGGTCAGGGTTATGATTGGCTGAATTAATTCAGTATAATTCAGTATATATGATGAATAGAGGCAGAGCCTTGGAAAACCCTATTGATAGATAGACGTATAAAAAAACATGCAGATATTTACATAGCAGTTATGCCAGTCATTGATATCATGTAAATGTTTGACCATCAAGCATAAGTTTATCTAGTCTTCTTTTGAATGTCTCGAAGTTTTCCGCTAAGACAACGGAGTTCGGCAATTTGTTCCATCCCTCCACCAGCCGGTGAGAGAAGAATTTGGACCGCAAATCGAGTCTGGCAGGTTTCGTCTTCAATTTGTATGGGCGCCCTCGGAGATTTGTCGTCCGCGCCAGTTCGAAGAAGTCGTCAAACTGAAGAGCACAGTCTAGCCCTCGGACGATCCTGAAGGCCGTGATCATGTCCCCTCTGTACTGTCTATAAGAGAGAGGAAATATTTTTAGCTTTTCCAGCCGTCTCTCGTAAGGTAAACCACATAATCCGCCGACTAGCCTGGTCGCTCTACGTTGTACGTTCTCCAGCAGGGTGTAATCTTGTTTCGCCCAGGGACACCATGCCTGGACATAATATTCCAACATTGGTCGAACGTATGCGCCAAATACTCGGCCGAAAAGTTCTTCATCAAAATTGACGAAGGATCTTCTAATCGCGCCCAGAATACCCATGGCTTTCTTTGGTACCTTGGCGCAGTGAGACGGTGGTTTGAGAGTTGACGTCATCCACACACCGAGGTCTCTTAACTCGTTGACTGATTCGAGTTGGTGACCTCCTATAAAGTACTGAGATTCAAATCTCAACGGCCTCCTGTTGCTCGAACGGAATCGGATAATTTGGCATTTGTTACGATTGAGGCTTAGACACCACTCATCACACCATTTTTGCAAGCGATTTAAATTGTCTTGTAATTGTACAGAATCTTCCGGCTTCTCTATTGATTGCCACAATTTGAGATCGTCGGCAAACATTACCCGCTCGCAGTTCAGACAGTCCAGGCGGTCGTTCACATATATTAGGAACAGAATTGGACCCAGGACGCTTCCCTGCAGAACGCCGCTGTGCACGGGTGCAAATTCCGATTTAGCGTTTCCGATACACACACGCTGAGATCTGCCCGTAAGAAAATCGGCTAGCCATTTCAGAAGATTTCCATTCACACCCACTTGACGTAGTTTACATATAAGTCGTCTGTGTGGAACACTGTCAAAAGCCTTTTTGAAGTCGATGTATACGGCGTCGACTGATAAGCCCATGTCAATTTATTTCGTCCAGCTCTCCATGGATACTAGGAGGTTGGTGAGACAGGATCGACCGCTTCGAAATCCATGCTGATGTAGACTGAGCAAGTTGTTTCCTTCGAGGTGCCGCATCAGCTCCGTTTTTATTACTCTTTCCATCAAATTGCAACAGATGCTAGTGAGACTCACTGGTCTGAAACTATTGGGGGCTGTTCTCCCGCCACCTTTATAAATGGGGCTTATGTTTGCTTTCTTCCAATCGGTAGTCAAAGCCCCGGTCTCCATCGAAGTTTTGAAGATCTTGGATAACGGAGAGGTCAGTTGGTCTGAGAGATCATTCAGGACTTTTGCGAACACGCCGTCCGGACCAGGGGATTTAGTGGGCTGTATTTGCCTCAAAGTTTTCCTTACCGTGTCTGTTGTGAAGTCCATCGTGCTAATTGTATGGTTTGATTTGACAAATGGGGGGTAAACTCTTTCATCAAAAGCCGGCTCCTCAGTATACACAGACGTGAAGAAGTCGGATAACAGATTCGCCTTATCTGAGTTGTCAGACAACGTATTTCCCTGGCGATATTTTAGGCAGGGAATGCAGTCCCGGTTGCGTTTTGCCTAATTCACGTATCCAAAGAATTTTTTTGAATTTTGCGGAATATTTTTAATAGTTTTGACTCAAATTGTGCCCGTTGCCTCCTCAACAGATTCCGACATACATTCCTCTGTTTTTTGAAGTCAGCGAAATGCTCTGGTTGCTGACAACTGGCGTACTTTTCCAAAGTCTCTTTTTCAATTTAAGGTTCTTCTTTATTTCTGTCGTCACTCACTCTGGTCGGGATGTGCGCGGCTTCCTTTTCAGTGGGCAACAGCTCTCTACCAGGTGCTGCATTGTGTTCTTGAAGAAGAGCCAATCGCCTTCTCGGTCAGGTCCTTGTGCTGCATTCCAGTGCACCTTCTGTAGCAGGTTTTTCATTCGGGTATAATCCCCTTTCCATACGTCTCTTCCCTCAGCAGCTCCAAATTCGGGTACTGAAAAATGACTATACTCCCAAACAAGAACGCAGTGGTCACTTCGGCCAAGGGGCGGGTGCGTTTTAAATCCGAGAATGCAACTATCATCCCTGGTGATGATGAGGTCCAAACAACTAGACTGCTGTCCATCTCTGAATCGAGTGTCCACTTTAACATGTTGGGTAGGGAACTCGGTTGTGATCAGTTGCATAAATTTCTGTTCGAAGGAGTTTTCTGATCGCTTGTAATACACTAAATCCCATTCTATGTCTGGACAGTTGAAGTCATCAAGTAGCATTATGTGTTTGTTTCGACAAATTTCTTTTATCTCGGTGATAAGTGCATCGTCCTCATCCGTTCGCTGGCTTGGCGGTCTGTAAACCAGGGCCATATGGAGGCTAGGATGGTTTGGCACCTTCAAGTAACAACTGAGTATTTCACAATCAATATGCCGAAATGGGGAAGACTCAACCCTGACGTAGTCGATGCCATCTCGTATAATTATCGCAATCCCCCCAACCCTTCGTTCGTTTCTGTCCATTCGCAGAATCTGGAAACCACCTAGCATAACTTCCGCATCTTCTTTTTGCGCATTTAACCATGATTCTGTTAAAGCTATCAAGTCGGGTTGGAAATGGGCCACAGTGAGTTTTATTTCATCCAATTTGTTGAATAAACTCTGCACATTTATGTACACCATTTTTATGTTATTCGGCTGTTTCGATCTCTGGAAATTGTTTGCTGGTGCTTTTGACTGATAGTAATTACTGCGTATTTCACATGGCGTACCATGTCCACTAGTCGATTGTGAATTTACTGAAGTTTGTCAGAGCCGACCGCCGGTGCTGTTACCGTCAACGTCACCGGACGATTCCACAAGAAGGAACGCTATTTTTTTACAATTTGGTTGTTTACTA